ATCTGGATGTCTTCTTTGGAGAAGTGTCTATTCATGTCTTTTGCGTATTTCTTCACCGGATTACTTGTTTTTTGGGTGTTGAGTTTGATAAGTTCCTTACAGATTTTGGATACTAACCCTTTATCTGATATTTCATTTGCAAATATCTTCTCCCATTCCGTCAGTTGTCTTTCCATTTTGCTATTTGTTTCCTTCGCTGTACAGAACCTTTTTATTTTGATGAGGTCCCAATAGTTCATTTTTGCTTTTATTTCCCTTGCCTCTGGAGACGTGTTGAGTAAGAAGTTGCTGTGGCCAAGATCAAAGAGGTTTTTGCCTGCTTTCTCCTCGAGGATTTTGATGGCTTCCTGTTTAATTTAGGTCTTTCATACATTTTGAGTTTATTTTTGCGTATGGTGTAAGAAAGCGGTCCAGGTTCATTCTTCTGCATGTCACTGTCCAGTTTTCCCAGCACCAGTGGCTGAAGAGAATATCTTTATTCCATTGGCTATTCTTTCCTGCTGTGTCAAAGATGAGTTGGCCATACGTCTGTCAGTCCTTTTCTGGGTTCTCTATTCTGTTTCATTGATCTGTCTGTTTTTGTGCCAAAAAATTGTTTTAATGTAGTGTTTTCATTTAGGAAAAAAGGTAGGTTCAATTCTGTGTTTAACTCACAACAATATATCTTATGTGATGAATGTTTGTTCACAAAGCGCTATGCTAGATACTGCTTAAAGATCCTTTTACAATTCTTTTATTAAGAGACTCTCTTTTAATTCTTGCATGTAAATTTCCTTTGCAATCTTGTTCGTGTGGATAACTCTTTAGTGTCTGGAGAAAGTTTTCATGCCAAGCATTTTATAGCTTGTTGTCTCAACCTACATATGGAAGAAATATTAATTATCAAGAATAAGTACTTGCATTGGGTTTGCTTTGTTCTTCAACATAAAATTTTCATTGTCAAGTTCATTCTGTGATTTTTGTATTGCTCTTTTATGGAAAAGTAATGTATGTCATGGTTTCCTCATAAGCTTTTTAAGCAAATTACTGTTGTCAGCTTCCCTCCCCCCATAATTAGAATGTAATTTCTAATTCAGCCACTCATTCTGAGGTTTTGTTTGCATTTTTACATGGGATACAGAAAAGTTCTCAAGCTTTTCATATGTCAGCCTTCTTTTTAAGAGTTTATCTTGGTGATGGACTTTATGCTACACTTTGTGACTTTTATAAACCTGGAACAGTTATAGAAATTTTATCAGAATCAGCTCATTTATAGCATGTGGGTCACAGAAGGTTAAATCTCCAATGCAGGAGGAAGGTA